AAATTTAAAATATTAAATTTAAAAAACAAATATTTATAATAAAACGTTAAACAATAATAATAAAACAAATTTAAATACAATTAAAAACAACAAATTAAAGTAAAAAGTGCATTTATAATATTAGTATGATGTTTTGATATTCTGTTACCGTAATATGTATTGAAGATTGAAGAGTTTGTATTGGAAGGTATACGTTTATCTATATTGGTGTTGATAAGTAATATTTTTTAAGTCTAGATTTAGTTAAAGGCCCAAATCTTGTCAGTCAAAACATATTGTTGTAATAGAAATCCGATAAATTATATTCTTATCAGATAAATGAAGAATTTGGGGAAGTACCTCGTTATAAAGTTTTATAAATACTTGTTTAGTTTTTATTGCTGTACTAGCTTTCACTCGCGATTCCTTCCGCGTGGAATTAAAATAAAACAAATGAGTAGCCTATGTGTTCTTCCAGACTATCCTCTACAACTATACCAAATTTCATCAAGATCCGTTTAGCCATTAAGGCTACAAACTCTAACAAACATCCATCTATCCATCTAAACTTTCACATTTATAATATACTAGTTTTCGCCCGTGTATCCGTCCGCGTGGATTAAAAAAAACAAAAGTGAGTAGCCTATGTGCTCTTCTACTATCCTCTACATCTACACCAAATTTTATCGAGATTATTTCAGCCGTTTAGGCTACAAACTAACAAACATCCATCCATCATCCATGACATTAGTATGAAGTATGATTTGAGGACTCATTTTTTTATTTATTTGCTTAGTCTCGCGCCCAAAGATTATTTTTATGAATAGGGCTGTAAAAACGTACTTATTTAATTTTATTACAAAATTAATTTTGTTTTTAACTGCCGCGGAGCTATAAAAAAATTAGTTTTTTTTTTCTTTTTTTTCTATTATAATAAAAGGTAAAAAAAAAAAATAGCACGTGCATATTAAGATGTAGTTTATCACTTTTGCATTTGAATTATAAAAAAAAATATTCATTTACGTCCAGTATTTTATTTATCGCTTTATAATATAAATATTTACATACTTATCTATAAAATAAAAATGTATTGAGAATGAAATAAATCGGAAAAAAATGCTTTTTTTTTTCAAAAAGTGCTTGAACAATTAACATATTATGCTAAGATGGGTACAAATGGTGAATTATAATTGGGCATACATTTAAATTTGAGTATTTGCTTTCCACCCTGGTATACCTGGATATTTGGAACTTAATAAAAATATTTAATTATTACTGAAAACATCTAAATACAATATTTTAGAAAAAAAAGTTGCATTGTCTTGAAAATTGGGGGTTTTCTTATTTTTTACCTATTTTAGGCGATAAAAAAAATGATAATATCATATTGTATAGGTGGTATCGTGGTCAAGCGCTAACAAACAAAAAAAATGTGTATTTTGGCAGTAGTCCAATATATGGTAACAATTAAATGAATAAAAAGAAGTTTATACAATTTTAAAAAATAATTTGAAAAAATATTTTACAAACACTCAAAATAAAATAAAGATAAAATAAATTAAACATTGACTTCTAATTGTATGAGAAATTTAACATCAAAAATCATGTATTTATTCCACGTATCAAACGCAATAATTTATTCCTATATACATTTTAATAAGACAAATAAACCTTTCAATAAGACCCGTTTCTTTTAGTAAAGATTTATGTATTTTTTCATTTTCAATAGATAAGGTTATCTTAATTATGGGAATTTTGAATCGATCGCAATAAACTGACCCGTACCGTTCTTAAATATTTAAAAATGTTAATATAATTGTTATTTTGACAACCCTAAGCTTATTAGACCAACGAAAAATAACGACTTTGTCGCCATCTTTATTTCGTTCGGAAAACTATTCTGACATTAGTTATCTGTGAGAAACTACAATTTAATTACTTTATTTTTTTAAATACGAATCAAATATCAACCCTGGACTCGATTACAGAACTAAAAGCTGTATACTGAAACGACATTTGTAACATTGTCTTCAATGATAAGGCTAAGCTAAAACTCCAAATTCCAATTAATATATCTTTCAGATTGTAAGCCTACGACTTAGGCTTTAGTGTTTAAGAATCGTTTCAGAATTCGGCCGTTTGACATCCGAAGACATCTTATTGAAAGCAATCATACGAGATTATAAAATTAATGTTTCCTTATTACAATATCAAACCAAAATCTACAAGCGTCTGCATTATTCTACCTACAATTTGCAAAATCATACTTCTATCTTACTAATATTATAAGTGCGAAAGTTTAGATGGATGGATGTTTGTTAAAGTTCGTAGCCTAAACAGCTGAACGAATTTCGATGAAATTTGGCATAGATGTAGAGGATAGTCTGGAAGAATATATTAGCTAATTGCATTTTTTTTAATTCCGCGCGAACGCAGTCGCGGGCGAAAGCTAGTTATAAAATAAACATAAGTTTTATCTCAATTCTATATTCAGCTAAAATGTTTCCCACAAACAAAACACTGGCCTCTAACATAGCATTGAATGTACGCATATTTTTTTAAAACAACAAAACTAAAAACAAAACACGGACGCAAAATGGCGGAATAGCGAAATGTCAAATTCAAGGTCGCCATTATGATCTACGCTACGCATAACATTATTCTTTTTAACGTTAGCTTTAATAAAATAAATAATGTTGTTGACTAACGATATTAAAAAGTGTACACTCGTGCGAAAAGAAACGTGACTCAATAAAAAAATTTTAGCTTTAGAAATCCTATAGTAAAATTTAATTGCTTTATATTAAAATAATAAATTAATCGATCCTATTGCGATTCTTAGATCGATTAAAAAACTAAGAGCGCGCGCACACATTTGACTAAAATATCGCACAACTGTTTAGTTGCTCGTATCTGTCAGCTTATATGACGGACACTACTCGTTTTTTAGTGCAAAAAAACAGATTTGGTTGCGAAACAATCCACAATCGCGCAACGGTCGTGCGATAGTTTGGTCAAAGACAAACGCTCACTTAATTAAAAATTCTGCGTAATGAACTAAATCGTTTTTATTGAATACGAGCTGTTGCCCGCAACTTCGACCGCGTGGTATTAGTAAACATACAAACTATATAAATTACAAAAAGCTTCGTATCCCTCGGGAACTGGACGTTTATCGGGGATGACGCTTATCCCAGGTGTACTCCAGACTTTGTTTTATATCTGTGCCAAATTTCAATAAGATATGTTGAACCGTTGCAAAATAATCGAGTAAACATTAAAAAACTAAATTAATGAATCCCACGGGAACCGTAACTATTACCGGGATAAAAAGTAGTCTATGTGTTCTTCTAGACTACGCTCTAAACCTGTGCCAAATTTCATGGAGATCCGTTCAGTCGTTTAGACTACAAACGCTAACAAACATCCATCCATCCATCTAAACTTTCGCATTTATAATATTAGTAAGATAGTAAGATTGTATACGGCCATTTTAAACATGGTATTATTGACGTTTGTTTATACACAAAATAACCTCGCAAAATCTTTATAGATAACATTATCAATGCGGAAGAGATAATTTACACTGTAAGGACTCAATTTGCTTATAAATATTTTACTCATTCAAAAATTGAAATAGCCACAATATTTAGTTAACGATTACATCAGCCCTTAGTGTTGATTTCTCTGATTAAAAGACCCATTGTGGCAAGAGGTTATAAAAAATTTGTCTCTGAATATTGTAACAAAAGCACCTATTTCAAATATTTAAAACCATTAACAACTAAGTTAATTAGAAACGCTTATAATTGTAATTCAAAAAACGTTAATATCACTTCTTTACATTTTACTAGCTTTAGCTGGCGACATCGCCCGTGTTGAATTAAAAAAAAAACAACAAAATATTGCCTATGTTACTCAGTGGTAACGTAGCTTTTTAATGGTGCAAGAATTTTTAAAATCGGACCAGTAGTTTTTGAGTTATTTCAGTATATACAAAAATCCGAACATACAAATCTTTCCTCTTTATAATATTAGTATAGATATACTCGTATACTCGTAGACAGTGATGAACGATTCATACGAGTAGCACTCTTTAACTTATTGTTTTAAGTTAATAACTAACAAAGAAATTGTGTTTTTATACTGCAAAATGCTATCCAAAGAAGTGCTATACAATTCAATATCTCAATCGTTAAATGTAAATGAGCAAAACCGCAAGCGAAAGCTAGTTAAAAATAAAACATGGTTACTCCGGCCGACGTCCGTCTCACCCGCGCTCCACATTCGAATTAATAATTGTATTAAGGAAACATGAGCGCAGCGCATGTGTTTGTTTGTTTGTTTACCCGCCGGTGACGTCATATGTTTATTCTCGCGGGTAGAATCGGGCTCGCATGGTATATCTGTCTGGATATTTTTTCTAATTTAGTTTATTTTTTGTTTTTAAGACAACTGTTGTACAATTTATTATTGCAAGTTATTCTTTGTTTGTATGTTTGTTTTAGTTGGCTGTGGGCAGGCAAATTAATAGTTAATTAAACTTAATGTGATGTGTGGTGATGAAAATGAGAACGCTAGTTATGAGTGTGGATGGGTGCACCGGTAGAGGTAGACCTAGAAAGAGATGGATTGCGTGAAAGGTGACATCATCAAAAGGGAGTGATGACTGAGATGACGTATGATAGAGTTATTTGGAGGACAAAAACCTGTTGAGCCGACCCTTCGGGAGTAGGATAAGGAGGAAGGTGATGGTGATGACGGGTAAATAAGCAAAAGCAGCAATATGAATTATGTAAGAAATATGGGATACGATGTGGACCAGTGTTATTTAAAATTAAAGTTGTATACAGTTGTGTTAATTTTTAATAAAATAATTATTATAATAAAATAAAATAAAGCATAGTAACAATTGGGAGTGTGTTTTGCGTGCCGCACTTCCCCTTGTTTACACACGCACACTGCGGCGCGCACGCACACCGCCGAGGCGCGCCGCGAGCGCGTGTTTAGGTATATTGTTGTTTATTTTATTCGGCGCTATGCTCCACCACGGGGCGAGCCTTTCGACTCAGTTTTAACGCGCGCGTTTTATGAAACGACAACTATGCGTCGATGTTCGCTCGCAGATAATTCATATCGTGACCGAAAATAACTACCGCGGTAAACAAATTCGCAACTTTATTATAAGGTTTTTAATTTTTTTTATAATATTTAGAGACACCGGCGTTGTCTCCGCGAATCTTAATAGTTGATCATAGTTTATTTTTACCGCCCAACGTGTGTTAATAATTGTGCTGGGGCCACTAGCGACTGTTTCTTTTTATTATCGTGTTTGGTTTGATTCGCTGCATTCGTATTGCGGAAGCGATTTCTTGTGCAAATAAAAAATATAACGCGAAAACCGGCCGTGTTTTGAGATTGTTCACCCACAGACCTGATTAATGCTGATAAGAATTGTTCTTTGCCGCGTTGAAAATATAATCAAGGAGTTTTGACAACAGATATTGTTTCGCTTTGATATAGTCGAGTATTTTCGAAAGTTTGCCGTTTGAGGAACATGTGCTGAGGAATAGATACTGGACAGAAAGTTTGGAAAAGTGCTGAGTACACATTGATGCTGCGAGTGTTTTTTCAACGCGTTTTCGAGGCTAAGCGCTAGTTGTTTGAACAAGTGTGTTTTCTAATGGATTTATTTTGAGGTGAGTTTAAATTTACTTGTGTGTTGGTGTTTGTATTGTTTGCTCGCTGTGTTTTGTGTGAGTGTTCGCGCCGGTGGCGGGAAACCGAATACCCAGCCGGTTCCCTCGTTGTGTGCGTGGACAAACATTGCGCGTGTCCGCGTACGACTTATTGTCACTACGAGGGGAGACAAGGAGGGAGAGGTTACTTGTGATGTATTTAGGCAAAGACGAAACATTGATGAGTTGACTTTTTAATTTATATGCTCCTTAAACAGAGATTGGGAAAATGTGCTCGTGGTGCCTCATTGTTGTTTATTCACGTATTATAACCTATACAGAGTTATATTGATTTTTGACATCACGCCACCAAATTTATTATGTAAACGCGAAAAGTAATTAAGCGTAGTTTATTTTAATGTCTTAGTTATTTCGCACTTAGTTTTTTACGCTTATTTAGCGACAGAAATACTGTAAAATGTCTTAGTATATTGGATTTGTTACTATATTTAAATGAAAATTTTTGATTGAATTTTTGCAATAGCAACCAATGTATAAAAATAAATTAATCAAAAGATAAAATCGAAGTAACTTTTAGAAATAAGACTGCTTATCATTTGATATGTATTTAGGTACGTCTGCGAATATATTTCATTCATCTATACTATACTAATATTATAAAGAGGAAAGATTCATATTTTTATATGTAATTCATGTAAAAACTATTAAACCGATATTAAAAAATCTTTTACCATTAGAAAGGTAATTTATCTGTGAATAGCATAGGCTAAGTTTTTTTTTAAATTGCAGAAACAGCTAGTGATTAAATAATTTTATATCAAATATGATTAATTTTCACTGTACATTTCCAATCTATACTTCAATACTATTATAATAAAGCGTAAACACACACTTCTTTGTTGCCTAAGATGTCAACAATCACAGCATATTTTTAAATATATTTTTTTTTAATAAATAGCCCTACACTTCACGCTTTAGGCTATATATTTTCACGCCATTAAACTTAGTTGATAAATAATTTAAAAACCCTAATGTGGGAAAGAGACCATAAGTTACTGCCAACATCAAGGAAGTAAGGTTGCCATGGTTTGTCATCATGTCATTTTGACATTTGCAATTGATAAATTGACAAATGTAAGCGATAAAGGAAATTTTTATAAATACCTGCGGATGAAACCGTATGGGAACAGGTAGTGAAATATATTAGTATATTTTTTAATTTTGGTACATAAGAGCGTCAAGTCGATGGATTATGGTCTAGATGGGGGTAGCTACCATTATTGCCTTTTTTAGTAGTTTTATACTTATTCTACATTTTTCGAGTATTTATGGGGAATAGATTAGAATGAAATTTAGCTTATAATGAGAAAAAAATTACACGTTTACATGTGTGAAGGTACCCTTAACTTAGGATATAAAAAAATGGACTCTTCAAACTCAAATTGTCGCGTCGGTCCGACTGGGAAAGGCAAATAAGGGGGGAGTTGTAAAAACAACGAAGGACCCTCGTCTTTTTTGTTTTTTCGACCTCGTATTTAAAGTATTTTAACATCTTACGTTTTTAAGAATAAACATGTACTAGATTTTTTTATACTAGCTTTCGCTCGCGACTCCGTCCGCGTGGAATTAAATAAACAACAGTAATTATATAAAACATCCTATGTGTTCTTCGTAAATCCGTTCAACCCTATATGCTACAAATTCTAACAAACATCCATCCATCCATCTAATCTTTCGCATATTTAATATAAGAATTGATTTGTTTTTTTTTTGTATCTATACATTGTAGCAATTATAGCATACTTTTTTTAAAATTCTTTTTTTTTAATAAAAAGCTCTACACTTTCGTCACGCTTTAGGCTATATATTTTCATGCCATTAAACTAAGGGGGTAAATATTTTGGATAAAAACCCTAATATGTGAAAGAGACCATAAATTGCTGACATTTGCAATTGATAATTTGAAACACGTATAATAAATTTTTCATAATTTTATGCGGATGAAGTAGCACGGGAACAGCTAGTTATCTAATACAAAAAACAAAGTTTTCGTCCGCAATATCATTTTATCTACTTAATATAGATAGTTTTCCCCTTAAATACTATTTTGGTTAACACGTGTTTTAACTCTGATCGCCACTGATTGACATTGGTCAACGTTATATCCTACTTCCTACTAATATTATAAATGCGAAAGTTTAGATGGATGGATGGATGTTTGTTAGAGTTTGTAGCCTAAACTGATAAATAGATCTAGATGAAATTTGGCATAGATGTAGAGGATAGTCTGGAGGAACATATAGGCTACTTACTTTTGTTTTTTTTTTTAATTTTGCGCTGGCGGAGTCTTGAGCGAAAGCTAGTTCGCCATAATGCGTACACACTTGGCACAGAATAGTTGGTCGCTCTCAATAACTGGACTGTCAATCCACTGGCATAATGTGAACGCTAACTGACGCCAGAGAGTACTGGCCAAGTATAAACCAAGCATAAATATGTTACCACGCAGCTTTGGTATGAATACTTTGATTACTAGGAGTCGCTCGCGACTTCGTCCGCATGGAGTTAAAAAAATGAAAAGTGAGTATGTGTTCTTTCAGACTATACTCTACTTCTATGCTAAATTAATCCGAGATCTATTCAGCAGTTTAGGCTACAAGCAAACATCCATCTAAACTTTCGCATTTATACTATTAGTAAGATTGAGCGACAACCTATTTAGTTTACATATAATTGTTTTAATAATGGTGATTTGTAAAAACCCGTGCTTTACCGTGATAATGATGTGTTTGACCTAAAATGTATTGAAATGTTTAATTTTTTGGGAAGACAGTAATGTAACCATACAATACAAATTTACGAGGATATTGTGAACTAAACGAATTCATTAAAGAATCAAACATTACTTTATGAATAACCAAATAATTGTTTATCACACAAAGATATACAATGAGGTTAAAGGTTTAGGCTTTTTGATATATTTCGCGATATTTACTGGGACAAAAAGAGCGTCGGTGGCTCAGTGGTTTAAGCACTTGACTTGTAATCTACAGGTCTTGGGTTCGAATCCCGTCGTACCAATGTGATTTTCGATTTTTCGAATTTTCATATGTACATAATTTACCCGACGTTCTTACGGTGAAGGAAAACATCGTGATGCCTGCACATATCGGCGAAGAAATTCAAAGATATGTGTGAAGTCGACCAACCCGCACTGGGCCAGCGTTTGACTATGGCCTAATCACCCTAATTTAGGGTAGGATCCGAGCTCCTCGGTGGGGACATATAGTGAGCTGGTGGTGATGTGACTGTGACAAATAAAATAGGCAGTCAACAGTACCAGACATAGGACATTTATTCAAATAACTCTGCAGTTCGATTCTGAAACAAATCTCAAACACATCGTAAGCAACGTTTACAATCTTATAGACTAGTATTGGAATTTGAAATCTAAGAGCGAGCACAACTTGTGCGATTGTCGATTGTTTCGCAGCAAACTTTTAGTTCTTCAACTGTTTTATTGCACAAGTATAGTGTGTCCAAATAAGTTAAATTAGTTTGACTTCACTTCAAATTTAGTAGGGATGATTGTGTAAAATCAGTCATGAATCTTTTCGATTTTTATTCTCATAGAAGTTGGAATCGATAGATTCATAGTTATAACTTATGAATTGTAAAAAAAACACTGTTTTCTCAAATTATGAATGACCATTACAAATAATGAGAGTAAATAAATGTTTATTACTACTACAGCCGTATGTAATCGAATTGGATTTCGCTATTATTTCTGTCCTCGCTAAATTCTCTACACTGTAATCAATAATAGAATTGTCCTCTAAATTAGTTTATAAGAAAATAATAATTTTGGTTAAGTTTAATAATTATTTAAAAGGAATATCGATAGTTCATAACTGTTCGCTGCGTGTTTGTTTCGTCACTACGATACCTGTCTATTAACTACGGCATTTGCCTTCATACCAATTGAATTCGATACTTCATATGCGTCATTTATCAAACTAATCTATCTTATTTAGACAGACTATAAAATTCGAGTAATGTGCGCTCCATAAGAGCTGATGGAATCAAAGCCAGACTAAACAGTTCTGCGATAGGTATGCTCCAAACGTGGTTTTATAATTCAAGATGCCGTATTTAAATGTCGTTTCATTATCCATCTCCAAGGTGAATGATAAATCATTTTCACAATACGTATTTGTATAGATTTGGTGACATAGTTTTTTTTTTTTTGTATTTTAATCTTATTTTATACACATCTGTACAATTAGGTTATCGTGTGTTTTTTTTAATATTTGATATTATTTTTATTTAAATAACTTGTTCTCATTTTTCCTTGATAACAGTGATATAATGCAGTTGCATTTTTCAATGAATATCATGATGTTAGCAAATACCCGCGACTTCGTTCGCACGAAAACTTTGACACCATCTTTTCTTCCAGACTATGTTCTATATCTGTGCCAAATTTTCGATTTCCGTAAACCGTTCTGTAGATTCTAAAAAAAATCCGTCTAAAGTTTCGCCTTTATAATTGTAAGTAACTAGCTGTTCCCGTGCGACTTCATCCGCATAAAATTATGAAAAATGTATTATATTGTTTACATTTGTCCAATTATCAATTACAAATATCAAAATTACATGACATGATGACAACCTTGCTTCCATGATGTTGGCAGCACCTTATGGTCTCTTTCCCACATTAGGGTTTTTATTAAAAATATTTACTCCCTAAGTTTAATGGCATGAAAATATGTAGCCTAAAGCTTGACGTAAGTGTAGGGCTTTTTATTACAAAAAGCTATTCAAGAATATGCTGTAATTGCTGATTTCTTAGGTAACAAAATGTGTGTTTACGCTTTATTATAATAGTATAGATAAAGCCTCCATTAGCTCCGACCCTATACAATTAAATTTGCGTGTGTAGGCAAAACTTTAACTGTACAGTTCAAAGTTTGACTGTTCAGTTAAAACTGTCAAAGTTG